GAGTCTGTTGGCTAGGATTTTGTTGAAGATTTTTGCATCAATATTCATGAGGGATATTTGTCTGTAGCTTTCCTTTTGAGTGATGTCTTTGCCTGGTTTTGGGATGAAGGTTATGCTTGCTTCCTAAAATGAGTTAGGGAGGGTTCCATCCTTTTCTATGTTTTGGAATAGTTTGAGCAAATGAAATTACTTTTAAGAACTCCTGTAGTAATGACAAATGACTTATTAGTAGTAGAATGTTGAAGAATTACATGAACAGCTCCATATAAGAATCATAAAAATGCAGATTCAAATCATGATTTTGTCAGCAGCTGTTGGCATTATAGCATATCACTTAACTTTTGTAAACTTTGGGCTACAATCTAGGAAAGGACAGAATTGGAGATCTCCTGGGTCAGGATAAGCACTACGATTTTAGCTCCTCATATTTTTGATTTCTTGTTCTGTTAGTTATTATAAAGAACTTTGTGTATTTTTATAGCCTCTTCTTTAATATCTCTTACTCTAGTATAGAATAAATCATTCTTTTCCGTTTGAAGTAAGTTAGTTTGCAGACTTTAGTCTTATGATTTAAAAAAAAAAAAAAAAAATCTAAGCTCAATGCCATTGAGTTGTTTCCAACTCATGGCAACCCCCGGTAGGTTTCTAAGGCTGTGAATCTTTTATGGAAGTAGATCGCTTTGTCTTCCTTCAGTTGAACAGCTGGTGGGTTTGAACCTCTGACCTTCTCGTTAGCAGTCAAGTGCCTTATCCATGATGCCACCAGAGCTCCCTTATCTATAATAGCGATTAAATTAGAACATGATATTAGTGCTTACTGCATAGAGAAATTTTTTGTTTTTTAAGATTATTTCAATCCTATCAGAAACATTATTCAATTTTAAGGAATATTTTTTCCCAAAATTGTATTGTTTATTTGTTTTGTTTATAGGTCATGGAAAAATCTCAGAGAGGAGACATTTGCAAGTTAACTTCCTTTTACCATATTTCCTAACAATGTTAGGTTTTTTCCCCAGACATTAACAAATGGTCATATAGCTTTTGTAATGTAGCTCAGAATCTTATAGTGACCATGAACTAGAATTTTTCTCAATCATAGTTTCAGGCTGCACGTGTGTAAATGTTCATTTTTTTGTATTAAAGACTTTACATTGATATGGAGGAAATTTTTTTGAAATTGTGAAAATTTTCATTTCTTTTTTCACCAGTTGTAAAGAATGTATTTGTCTGGATTTCGTTCCTTTCTGTGGGAGAAACTGATATAGAAGCTTTAGTCTCTTGCTTGATATCCACTCATAATATTTTTTTCCCCTTACTTAATTCCCTTTATAAATAACTTGTTTTTTAAAACTGGATGACCAATTAAAAAAAGGTAGTAAAGAAGATAATGAAATTCAAGAAATAATTCTTTAAGGATTCTAATGGGTGCTCACTCTGGCTCAAATAGATGTTTAGAGAATATATTCCAACTATTCTAAGTCTTAACTTTGTGGCTGCTGTCTTCATTATTATTCTCTTTTGTGATAGAGATATTTTAAAGGAAAAAATGGCTTATTAAAATCTTGACTGGATATCATATACTCTGCTAGCCAGTTAACCAATGTGCCTATTGATATTCCAGGAGTTAAGATGACTTACAAGAGGGACTCTAATCCTAAAGTTTGTGGAAGTAGCTTTGTGATAGAGGAGAAAGGTAGCCAATTAGAGGATGATTTCAGGCAGCAAATGTTTTTTGAGCATCAGTTTATTAATGGCCACAGAGTAGTTCAAATTGTCTTATAAGAAATGCCAGAGAATTTTTAAAAATCAGTTTTGCTTTTTTTTTAAAATTGGAAATTGGTAACATAAGTAAACTATTAACTGGTATTTAATAATACTTAATCTCAGATTAAGAGTTTTTATTGTAATGGATTCTTGTAAGGAACTTTTAAGTTTGATTTTATGCAAAATGCAACCACTGCCGTGGAGTCAGATTCAACTCATAGCGACCCCTCCTTGGGTTTCCAAGGCAGTATCACTATGGAAGTAGATTGCTCAACCTTCCTTCCAAGGAGTGGCTGCTGGGTTTGAACCGCCAGGCTTCTGGTTAGCAGCCAAATGCCTTACCCATGACAGCAATA